AAAATCCGGATGTCGGATTCATCCGGATTATCAAAGCCTGCAGTTTTTAACAATTAATGGCTTGTTTAATAGTATGCATTAATGGTAGGGGCGCAAGGTTAACATCTTAAAATAGTTTTTTTTTTATTCAGACAATTATTATTTAATCCAGAAAATGGGTTTTACCGAGATCGAAACAAGATTTGTGTTAAATTTGTATTTTTAACAATTGATTGATGATTATACACAATAAACGAATGTATATATTATGTAAAGCATATCAAATAATAAAGTACATGAAATTAAATTTTACATCAAATAAATGTAGCGATTGTTCATTAAATAATTGATTGATTAAATTGATTGTTCTTGTTTATCTAAATCGGGCATATAGATTAATTGTTTTTATTAATAAATAAAGCTCAGCGAAACAAAAGAGAATACTATACCCTAACATTTTACTTACCAAGTTGTGATATAAGATGAACAATGAAAGTATTAATCCTGAGACGCTTCGAAAGAGAAATAGCAAAAGAAGAGAAACAGCTGAACAACGTGAAGTGCGTCTTGAACGTGAGAGAGAGCGAAAATGTCAAAAGAGAAGCCAAGAAAGTAACAAAGTACAGGAGACTCGTCTTACAAAAGTTCGCAAACAAAAAGCTCAAAAAAGAAATGTAGAATCAGTTGAGGAACGAGAGTCACGTCTTGACCGTGAACGTAAAAGCAAACGTGTGAAATGAAATCAAAATCAAAGAGATACGAACGATTCAACCAGACCACTTTCAGCGATCAATATCAGTGAGAAGGAACATAAAATTCTTAAACTATTTCGTAAAAATATGGAAGAAATTGAATGTAAAATTTGTCCCAAATGTAATGAAAAAATACCATCGATGAAAATTGTCAATGAATTGATGTGTCATCGATGCTATAACAAAAAAGATACTATAAAAAAGTTTTCCAATGAGAATAATATGGATCCGGGAGATATACCTGAAGAATTACAAGATCTTACGGAGATCGAAGAAATATTAATTGCAAAGGTTTTTACGGTGATGTCGGTATACAGACTCCGTGGCGGACAATACGGATATCGTGGAAATGTTATAAATTTTCCACAAGAAGTACAAGAATTTACAACTCAGCTTCCACGTCATCCATCAACATTAGACATTCTTGTCGTATGACGTCAATCAGCAAATGATCCAAAAGCGTTTAGAGATTTTAATATACGACGAAATAAAGTTGCTAGGGCATTAGTATGGCTAAAACAAAACAATCATTATTACGCAAATATAAATATTGAAAATGAAATTATTCAATCCTTACCTGAAGACGATTCTATTGTTGAAATGCTTCCACGAGTTCAGGATGATAATATAATTGACGAAAACGATGACACTGAAAACGAAGATGATACAGTAAGGCATACATTTGTGCCATCTCTTTCTAAAAATCAAAGAGAGGAAACTGCTATTAATAATACACTCGAACGTATGCAAAGCGAAAACCCTCATACAATGTGGCCGGAAATAGACAGATACCCTATAAACGAATTCCAAACTATAGGATATATTGTTCGTGCATTTCCAACTCTATATCCTACCGGACGTGCAGATCTTCGTGTGGAACGTGTAAAGGACATTAAACCAGCAGAATACTTCAACATATGATGTGGTATAAGGATGGGAGATTTGCACGACATACACGATGGAGGTATTTCGCGTTAAATTCCGTGATGAGATGGAGAGCATTGCAAGAAGGAAAGGTGTATGTTAAGCAGAATCTAAATGACGACCAACTTGATGTTCAAGATATACAAGAAAAGATTGCAAATGGTGATAAACATCTAGCAGACCGAATTATGAGATATGGTGAAGAGTTACGTGGTACTCGACAATTTTGGATGTCACGACGATATGAATTGATGGATTTGATTAAGCAAATAGGTCATCAAGGTCTATTGTTTTTTACCTTTAGTGCGGCCGACTTGCACTGGCCTGAACTTCATAAATTAATACCAGATGGTAATAATAGCGAAGAATGTGATTCAGTTAAACAACGACAACAGAACATTATAGAAAATCCGCACATAGCCACTTGGTTCTTCGATAAACGCTTTAATACATTTTTTCGTGATGTCTTAATAAAACGATGGGACTTAGAAGATTTTTGGTATCGATATGAATGGCAACATCGGGGAAGTATTCACGTACATGGAATTGGAAAAAGAAAAAATGCACCTAAAATTGAATGGACACAAATAAAAGAAAACAAAAATGAGATGCGTAATGTAATACAGTATATTGATTCAATAGTTACGATAAACAATCCAGGAATTTTCGCATCTATACCTGAACGACATCCCTGCCAGAAATGTAATGATGAAATAGAAGATGATTTGCAGGATTATATCGAATTAATAAGCAAGCTACAACACCACACGCGTTATAACCCTTCATATTGCATTCGTGTTGATAAAAAAACAAAACAGCAAACTTGTAGATTCGGGTATCCTAAGAATAATGTTAGCCATACGATTATACGCGAAGATAAGTATGGATAGCCTGAACTTGAAACGGCAAGAAATGATCTATATATCAATCTACATAACAGACTACAATTGCAAGGCTGGAGGGCAAATGTCGACTTGAAGCCAGTTTTAAGTATACATACCGCCTTGCAGTATATTTCAAAGTATGCAAGCAAAGCAGAACCTCAATCAATGGCCTTTTCTGAAATATTAAATAAGATTCTTAACAATAGTAATCCCGAGGATCATTCACTTTGAGAATGATTATAATGGAAACAGCAGGTACAGGTAAATCATATCTTATCAGAGCAATTCGAGAGAAGCTACGGATAATGGCTGGAAGTGGATCCAAAAATCCAGTAGTTGTACTAGCACCTACAGGAGTGGTAGCATTCAATATTAATGGTATAATAATCCATTCAATGCTCTCTATTCTAATAGTCAATAATAAAAAACAGTTCAATATTGATGGAGAACGTCTAAAGCAATTACAAGAAAAATTAGATAAAGTGCAGTACATCATAATTGACGAGAAAAGCATGGTTGGAAGAAGAATATTCGCCTTAATCGACATGCAGTTACGTCAAGCTTTTTCTGAGAATAAGAACGAATTATTCGGTGGTAGATCCATAATTTTTTTCGGTGATTTTGAACAGCTACCACCTGTGCTTGACCTTTCAATGTACACTAATGACATATCACGAGATACACTTTCTAATAATGGCATCGCATCGTACAAACACTTTTTGAGGTGTACAAACTCAATATTATTCAAAGGCAGTCAGGAGATTCTGAAGAACAACAAATGTTCAGAGATATCCTCTTACGAATGCGAGATGGAGAATGTACTCTAAATGATTAGACTATACTTACCACACGATTTGAAGATAAACTAAGTATAAATGAGCAAAAGGAATTTTCAGAAGCGATACATATACTAATAAGTGGAAGGATGTTAATAAGATTAATATAGAGAAGCTCAAAGCGTTGAACCGACTAATAGCTAAGATCCATGCAATACATACTGGAGGCCAGGAAGCCAAAAGAGCTAATTCAGATGTGGCAAAAGGACTTGATTCACAGCTGTTGTTGGCAAAAGATGCACGCGTCATGCTAATAGCAAATATATGGACAGAAGCTGATTTAGTTAACGGGTCAATGGGAATTATACAAGATATCATATTTGAAAACAAGGACCACCCTCACTTCCCATAGCAGTGTTAATCAACTTTGATAAATATGAAGGGCCTACCATTTCCAACACCGAAGGCGTCAATGTAGTACCTATCATTCCTATCAAGTGAACTTAGGAAAGTAAAGATGGGAAATAGTGTTCACGATTGCAAGTTCCTATATGCCTTTCATGGGCTATTATGGTTCACAAAAGTCAAGAACTGACCATATCTAAGGCCAAAATAGATCTTGAAAGCAAGGAGTTTGCGGCAGATCTTTTGTTTGTTGCAGTTTTTAGAGTACGATCACTCAACGATCTTTGCTTTAGGCAGTTCACTTTCGAAAAGCTTCAACGCATCAAGAAGAGTTAAAGGCTACAAGAAAGAAAGGTTGAAGAAGAAAGACTGCTTTCTCAAACATAATGATATGAATAATAACACTTCGAGAATCGGGAGTAGTGTGCAAGAGCGAAAACAAAATTATTATTATTGGAGTAGAATATACTAGAATATTATAAAATTTATTTAAAAAAAAAAAATAAAAAATAAAATATTTTAAAAAAAATATATATATATATATATATATTTTTATTATTTAACACTTATTCATGTGATTTATGTGATACAATTTCCTTATCGAGAAATTGAACCACGCATCGACTCACAGGATAAGCGGGCAGACATCTGGACATTGCATGTATTTTGCGTAAAATTATATAGTTCTTCGCTAACGCTTCAGACTAATGAATGTAAAGAAGTAATATGTGAAAAAAAAGAATCGTTCCAATAGTAATGATTAAAACATAAGAGATTCAAACCTTACAATCAAATAGTTAATCATCGTAACTAGATGAAAACCGTTATTATTCCATCACAAAGTCTAATTTTCTTTACATTCGGCTAAGAACTTGTAAAACTACATAATTAATGTTAATTTTAGCCTTACAGTACTTCCGTTTAAATTATTAAAGTCTTTTTTTAATTACTAAATGAAACTGAAAGGTTTTGCACTTTGTAAGTTCAATTCATTGAGAATTGGAAAGGCTTTATTAACACGCCTTCAAAGAAAAAAATTACCCAAATATAATAAATAAAATTGATTGAATAAAAATTTTGTCGATTTAACAATGCACTTATCGCAAATATCTAAATGGAAGCGTGTTAACTATTACTCAATAACCCTACTAAAGATAATTTTTTCAACATCAAAATAAACAATACAAAGACTGCTAATGAACTTAAAAAAGCTAAACATTCAAATTATAGAGGATGGAGATTGAACATTTTTCTTAAAGGAAATGATAAATTAATCACAGCTAACAACAAAATTTAACTGAGTCTACTGGAAATTCAACGTTTATATAAGTATTCAGTGACGTGTCATCTAACCAAGTAATTTGCAATTCAACCAAGAGTATTAATTGCATTACACGAGTTGAATTCGTACTATAAAGGACAGGAGAAATGATTTTCGATTAATTAGAATTTGGCTCAATGATTAGCTTTGATATTCCGTTTGAAATTTGGTTACTTATGCAAGTATTATATATTTTTTATTTTCGTCAATACAAAAATGCTGTAGGAAATAAAGTAATTATGAATTATATTTTTATCATTGATAAATTCCTAGAGTAAAAAAAATAAAATACTCTCTGAATATTTTAGTGATCACATGATAAAAAGTGTATAGATCAAATAATTTAATTTACTCAAAATCCATTAATATAAAGACAACTAAACTACTAAAACTAGGTCAATTTCCTCTCAAATTGCATATTTATTTTGTGAAAAAGCAAAGGTAGTTTTCTACATCAATTCTCTGTCTACTTACTTAACGGTTCAGGTGAAAGGTCACAATTACACTTACAAATTTTTTCTGTTTACATCCTTGTCTCATGTATACATTTCACTTTCATTTGAATCACAAAATATTCCAACTTGCGCATTATTGAATTTATTGCATTTGGGTAATCCCAGTAAAGTTTCAGACTTTCAGAGGTTATTTTACAATCACTTTAAATCACCTATTTATCTTCATTATTCTTTAGAAAGAACTCCTAATAGTAATTCATATTTAGAATATAGGAGTCTCACAGGTACAATGAATTATTCTTGTAATATAAAAGCATATGTATTATATAGTGGAATTATAGGCATTTTTTAGAACTAAAAAATAATGATAATGATAATAATATAATTCAAAATTTAATTTATGATGAAACTTTAAGACGTGCAACCTTTTAGTTATTATAAAACAACCGTATCTTCAACTGTTTACTTACTTCTTATCATCACAATTTTCTGATCAGTAAAATAAAAATAATTCATTTTCAAGAGCTAGATATATTTATTTTGATACTCAAGAACCTAGTTAATATTTATGAAATAATAGTTTCAAGCTATGATTTTTCTGATGAAGTTCATAATGAAGACTTTTATTATAGCAGATTAATAGCAGGATTTATTTCTGAAAATGAATATTTATAAATACCAATTTTAACTTATAATCTTAATTTAGAACTGTTATTATTTTCAGATTTATTTACAGATGGAAAAGGTCATTTTCATGATATTTTAAAACAATAAAAACAAAATAAAATAATGAAATATGTTATAAAATATATAGAAAATATATTAAATATTGATTGATAAATTTTGATTTAAGGTAGAGACTCCATCACCATTAGTCTTTTTGGTCTTATTTTCAATTAGAAAATTATAACATTATTAAAATACACAAAAAATATTATGACAAAAATAACTTTAAACTGGTAATAATTAAATCCTTCTATTAGCTAAATATTTACTTTATTCTAATGCTTATACTTCTCATAATATAATAACAATACCTATTCCTATATTTATACATATTGGAAACTCCTATTTTAACCAAAAATAACTTCATCTAAATACAATGATTAAAAAATGAATTGCCAATATTATTTATAATCTTAAGTATGGCTAAAAGTTGATAGATTCACCTTTATAGTATACTTTTTAATAATGATAATAGTGTTACTCTACCTATAAATAAACCCTTTCATTATGCTAATTATTTTATTTACAAGTTTAAATCTTTAAAAAATAAACTTTATAAAAACCTGAATTAACAGGCTTTGAAATGATAACAGACTTTTTTTATCAAGTTGAGTTTTAAAATAGAGGTATTGCTTATATACACAATTGCTACTGGATTACTAATAGTATTAAAAAAAATAATTAATAATAATATTATACTTTTAACTATATCAAATCTAACATATGAATCTAAACTTTATGTTATAGTTATAGCTAATCAAATATATACCTGTAATAAAAAGTGTAAAGGTCCTGCACCTCTAGTACAAACTTATAAAAAAGGATTTTCACATCCTTATTATGTAATAACTTATTATAAAAAAGGAAACTCTTAATATATTTATAAATATCTAACAGAAGCTGATTCATAGATTATATCATATTACCCTATTATTCTCTTACTCTGGAATACATATATAAATGCACAATATATAATAAATAAAGGATTTGCTAAATATATAAGTTAATATATCGCAAATAAGAACTATCTTATGTATTTAATGTTCAAGTAAATGATTTATTAAGAGAACATATTATAGCACAAAGAATTAATTCTATAGAATTTATGTTTCTTCTACTTGGATATCAAATTTATAATTCTTTTGCTACTATAAAATTTTAATTACTGAACTATCAAATATAAGAATCTGAACTATAATTCCAATTTATATAATAGAAGAAGATGATGAAAACCTATTTTATGATGATAATATCATGAAATACATGGCTCGTTCACAGTTTTTTTAATTTAATAACTTAATGTAATCTTAATATTATGAAAAATATTCTATTATACCTTTATCACTTGCTTCTATATCATATCAAATTTTTTGTAATGAATTAGATAATTATATTATAAAATGTTTTAAAAAAATAGTTATTAGATATCAATTTTTAAAAATAGAAGATGGTGAACTATATTTTTATCAATAATTACTCTTAAAAATCCCTGTAAGAAATGAATCTGATTATAGAATAATACCAAATTACTCTTATCATAAAAAGTTTTTATCATTATTTTGTAATTTTTATCTGAATGACAAAATCAAATTACAAATATTCAATAATTTTATATAATACAATTAAATAACTAATTTTCTGAAGTATTAACAAGAATACTATCATTACTTAATTAGCAACTTCTATCAAATCTTTTATATATAATATAAATACAAATAAATGATTTAAAATTACTTTCTTATATATTTTTAGAAGCTGCAATTTTAGAAATATTACAAGATCAATATCATATCATATTTACTATTAAAATGCATTTAGGAAAAAATGATAATATAAAGTGGCTATACTTTTTTATAACTGATTATACTAATACTAGAAAATTCTATATTATACATATAATTATTAATGTTAATTTACTTAAGCAAAGACATTCTAAATATCTACTTTTAGCACCTACAGAAATAGCAACTTAAAATATAGGTGATAAAACAATACATTTTAAATTAAGAATCATAAATACTTAAAGAGTTTTCAATACTCGTACTCATACTAATAATGAATTTAATCTAAATTAAAAATGTTGATACTATAATTATTGAAGAAATCTCTATAGTTTCAGCTAAATTATTAGATTATATTTTAAATACTTTGCAAGTCTTTATAATAATACTATAGCCATTAGCAGTATAAATGTTATAGTATTAGGAGATCTTGCATAACTTTCTCTGTTTTTGATTAACAAGTATTTCAAGTTGCTATTTGGTCATTATTTTTTTCTTTATTTTTAAAATCTATACAATGACAAAATAATAATCAAATATTTTATCAATCTTATAAGAAATATGATTTGATAATATCTTTACTAAAACTTAAAATATTTTATAATGATGTTATTCTGAATTTTTAACTAGATCTGTAATTAAAATATCATTTAATACTACCTATATTATTGAATTTAGAAAAATATATAAATAATCAATAACAATCTGTAATATACTTTCTATTCCTAATAATAAATTTTTAATTTTACAAGCTTTAGATTTTATAAGCTCTATTTATTGAAAATAATCTCTTTGCAATAAAATGTTTAAACTAACAACTAATCTATTATCTTATATTAGACTACAATCTAACACACGCGTTATATTTCTTAACAATTCTCTTATTGATCAAGAAATATGTAATAGTATAATAGGTTTAATTATTAATATAAATCCTTCAGATCTAAGAGTATAAATCATCTTTTCTATTTAAGATTTTATAAAAGACTTAAATATTTATAAATAAACTCATTATTTGAAATTAATGAAAACAGTTACCATTGAATCCAATTTCCTTTACAAAATTATTTTACTTTTATGATTCACAAATATCAAGGATTTACTTTACCTAAAGTTACTCTTGCTTTAGATAAAAACATATTTTCAACTGATCAAGTTTATGTTACTTTTAGTAGATATCCTAAATTAAATAATGTAAACATATTTTATTTTGATAGATCTGCTTTCATGATTAATCTTAATATAATACTAGAATACCAATTATTAGAAACTATATCTAGAATAAGTCCTCATCTATTTTTATAATTTACTCATTAACAATTTATTTACTTAACTTAATTTATATAAAAAAATAAATTTCTTAACAATAAAAAAAAGTTACCCTTTTTTTTTTATATTTTATAAATAAAAAAATAATATAATTTATTCTATTATTTGTTTACTAATATTTATGAAATATTTATTTATATTACTAATTACTAAAATTTATTTTTATTTTTTATCATAAAAAATCATAAGATTCTCTACAATTAAATCAACTAATAAAATATAATAAGTGAAACTACTAGACTATTACAATATCATATCATTCTATTTTTTGCATACCTATTATGGATATTAGAAAAAAAATTACTAATTAATTTGTATCTATAGTTTAAATCATGTGTTTTTCAAAAGGAATATATAGTGTATAAAGTTTAACTAATTTTTTGATAAGGAAAAAAAAGTATTAAAGAAAATGTTATTATACATTCTATTATATTTTTATCAGCAATTCTTGCTGATTAGATTACATAGAATATGATCTTAATATATATGATCAGGTCATACCTTGTGAATATGAGATAGTTCATATTAACGATAATAGTATTACTTATTTAATATCCTTTTTCGTTAGGAATAGTCAAACTATAAAGCATAAGCTATCTTAATAACTATTAACATTATTATATATAGAGATGACATATAATTATCATTTTAGCTATATATTGAACATATTCTTTTAGTCTTATCATATACCAATAAAAATTGAATAATTACAAATATAATTTAAGTAATTACATGATGAAACTTATTCTAACTTTAAAAATTACATATAAGCAAGAAATGCCTGACTCAAATCATGTATTTCTAACTCATCTAACTGTATAACATTACAATGCAAGTTAATATTCTGATACATCTGAATAAGCAATTAATAAAACAGATAATGTGGCTAAATGCATCAATCAATTGACTAGTAGTAAATTTAGAACATACACTACATCTCTTTAACTCTACATATTATATCACATAATTAATTTATGCTATTATAATAGTTTTGTAACTTTAAATAAAATCTCAAAAGAATAAATAAAACTAAGACAATTATTCAAGAAATTACGAGTGAAGATTCACAATAACGTTAAAGAATTATTCTCAATATAAAACATGTGAGATAAACATAAAATAAATACAGATAACTCAAAGATATTTCAGAGATTATGTTTTAGAGACTCTAAGTCAATACATGAATTAATATAATATTATATAATAAGTTCATTAATAATAATTAAAGAAATTGCACAAATGCAAAAGGACACGAATTATTTATAACAGTTTCAAAGGGTTTGTAAAGGATAAGTTTT